AAAATACATACGGTTCAGAACGGATTAACCTTATTTACATTGAACCTTATGGGAAAATTTGATTCGGTTGGCGACCAACTCGGTTGGCGACCACGTTCGTAGGGGTCAGAACGGATTAATCTTATTTACATCGAACCTTATGGGGAAATTTGATTCAGTTCGCGACCAATTCAGTTCGTGACCAGAATCGTGGAACCAATTAAGTTCATGAACCGAGGTACCACTGCGGGATAAAGATATAATCATCATCATCATCATCCCAGTAGTTCTGGGTTTTAGGACCTTCTGGTTCTGGGGACTTTCCATCCCGTATTCTGGATGAGGTTGCACTGCCCAAGACAGAACCTGTGCACAACTTGGAAGGCTCCTGGGCTCACATCTCCTGCTTAAAGAGAAAATGGCAGCCATGGTCAGGAGCACCTTTGCACAGCTACATGTTACACGCTAATTGCACCAATTGTTCCTGGACTGGGAGCCCTGCTCATAGTCAGTCATGCTTTGGACATTCCCAATAGGACCACTGCAATGTGGTCTGCATGGTGCTGCCCCTGAAAATATTTGGAAGCTTCAGCTTTTGCGAAGTGCAGCAGTGTGGACAGTTATGGGTGCCTGTTATTGGCACATATGGCACCTCTGCTCCATGAGCTGCACTGGCTGCCAATGTGCTTCTGGTTTTAATTCAAGGTGCTGGTAGTCATTTTTAAAGCCCTTCATGGCCTGGGGCTGGGTTACTTATGGGACTGTCTCACCCCAGCTGTATCTACCCATCCTATTAGATCCAGCAGGAAAGGCATGCTCCAAGTCCCATCCATCAGAGAGTATCATCTGGCAGGACCCATGAAAATAACTTTTTCTATCATGGTGCTCACCCTCTGGAATATCATTCACCTGGAGGTAGATTTGCCCCAACCCTGCTGATCTTTTGCAAGGCCTTGAAGACCTGGTTTTGACATCAAGTCTGGGGCCCTGGAGGTGTGGAGTAGCCCATTGGATGGCTATATTAATTGTTAGGATAGGTTGGTTTCTGGCTATTTTTGTTATTTATAATTTTTTGTTACATTGTTTTTTTCTGTTTTTAAGCACTGTTAGCTGCCCAGAGTTATGTTTTTTAAGATGGGTGGCCATATAAATTTAATAAATAAGTAAACCCTATTTGGTATGTTTGATTTCATAGTGTTCTGCAAGTTCTTCTTGTTTTATAAATATAGGGAAATACTTACCATGTCTAGTGACCTAAGAAGCATGCTAATACAGTACTACTTGAATACCCATACTCTAACAGCAGTAGAACTACTAGCCCCTTTCTAGAAATCATAACCATCACATTCCTTAAATCATACATTTCCTAGAGTGAATCAGACTAGCTTGTGAGTAATCTCTGAGTAATTCTCACTGGGAATTATTGAAATGATGTGATCTAATATGGCAGATTAAAGGGAGTGATGCCAAGTCTCCTTGCCCCATCTGTCTTTCCATCTCCTACCATAATTTGCTTAGTCTAAGAAGTTTTACAGGTTTTAATTTATTGTATCAGTTCTTTCAAATGCAGATGTCAGCCAAGCACATCCATTTATTCAAAACCAAGTATTTCTATAAACCAGTAAACAGAGCACACAAAGTACACACATTAAATGAATGAAAGTTAATATTATTTGTATAATACCTTTTTCAAGTCCAGTCAGCTGGTGACTGGAGATAAAATTGCTATGTTCTGAGTCTTCATAATCATATTCCTCTAATGGCTCGCCAGAGACTGAAGGATTATCTCGTTTTGAATAAATAAATTGAGCAGCTAGAACAAATCAAGAATAGAACCAGTATCATCTGGGTGAAATCTCCACAACTAATTTGCCTTCTATTCTTAAACTTTTAATGTCTTTTCAAGAACTGCAAATATTTATTACCTATTCACAATAGATATTTCAGTAAATTTGATTCAAATTTCTATAGTTTTATTCTTGGCAATTTGTTTAATTATGAGGTACACATAATTCGTTTAACTTTTAAATGTTTCATTTGAATTAAAACTGTTTTTATTAGATATAATGATGAATGATTATTTGTTCTTAGCATAATCATATGGCATTAATAATCCTAAACCAGCCTTTCCCAACCTACTGCCCTCCAGTTGTATTATATATGAAGTCTCATTATTTCTATCTCTTGTCATACCCATCCAGCCACAGCAAAAGGTAGTTTTAATTCCTTTTCTGTGGCTGGATGGGTATGACAAGAGATATGGATGGCACGAGAATTGGGAAGATTATCCTAATAGATAGATAGGAAATACAGATTGAGCAGTACTATTCTTCAGGTAAGCTGATTTTACCAGATATTAATTCCAAACCAATTTCTAAAAGTGATCATAAACAAACAAGCCATATTAGGAATTTCTGCTTCCATTCATTATTCATTTTTATCAAACTGTATGGCAAGTTATTATATATACATTCCTATTACACACAGATGCAGCAGCCTAAGCCGCCTACACATTAAACAGGACACCATAAAGCAATAATGGAAAAATGTTATGCAAACCTGTTGATGGTGAGATGCAGTAATCATCTTCTACAGACTGCCCATAAAGGTCATCATCTTCAAAATCTGAGAGGCAAAAACACAACCAACCTTCTCATAACTGGAATTGTGAACAGTAGTCTTATTTAATTGTAACAAACATCAGGCTACATTGTAATTAAAAAACATTTCCTTTTGAGCGCTTTTGAATATTTTCACTAATTAATTCCTGAAAATATAAATTATTTTATTTATAGCTTCTTCTTGAAAATGCATTAAGTCTTTTCATACATTTCCTTATCCCAATACATTTAGAACTTATAACTTACCCACAGAGTTCCTTATACAATAAAAAACAAAAAATACCAAATTCTGCAAGAATGCCTTCAGACTCACTATTTTGGGTACCATTTTTCATTTTTGTAGTATAGTATTTCACTTTGTTTAGAATAGAATATATTCTGCTTAAGAAAATAAGCTTGAACCACAGCATTAATATTAAATATTAATATAATATAATCTTAATTTTCTAACTTCAGAATTTGAAGTATTTTAACACAGTTCAAACTCAGTATTTAAATACTGAAAGTAAGCCAATCTCAATAGGTTAGGCCAATGCAAATAATTAATTTCACAGGGTAAAAGAGATGCTTTTAAAAAGTACAAGCTCTTTAAAATTGTGCAGAGAGAAATTAAATGCAAGGAATCAAGTTGGCAATTGCTTGATAGTAATCTTTAAAGTCATTGTGATGTCATCACTAGTAACAAATAATAATCTAATAGGCGTATTGAAGCAACTCCCTGTCACTAATACTTCAGTTTAAAAATGATGACTTAATTTCAATGTCTAACTACGGAACTATTAAATTCCTAACTTGGGATCAGAGATTAAAATATCTTTCTCCTATACATATGTTGAAACAGAATACTGTAGATAAAATAGACACAATATAAAAGAACAATGACAGGGATGAAATCACAATTATGTTAAAAATAAGATGTGGATTAGAGGATCGTTTTAGTAGATCACATGATGTAACCCGATATTAAGTATATATTTAAAAATCTGAAAAAAATGCTATTTGCAATCATTGGACAAGATTTTAAGAATAACCTTTGTTAACAATTGGATGTAAATCTCTAATTTAACATACACTTGCCTATCAGTCCAAAACTTTTTTTAGATGCATACATCTAAATAGTTTCTTAAATGTATCATAATATTTAACCAATCTGAACCACTTCAATGTTTAAATAAGAAGCTATCATTAACTACACAATACAGAATTTATAGGTGTGGGAGAAATTTTGTTAAAGTTTTTAAAGTACATGAAATGCAAATAAAATTCCTTAATATCAATGAACTTTTCACTTTCCAAATATCATTTAATCAAAATGTTTTAAATATTTGATTTTATTTATATCTTGCATTTTTGCCAGAAGGTCAAGATATCATACACAATGCTGCCTCCTCCAAAGCCTTCCAGCTATCGATCCTGGAAAGTTTCTCCTGACCTAACAGAAAGCAGCTACATAGAACTGATATTCTTAATATAATTTGGGCAGTGATTATTAGTCTGTTTTTCAATACTGTTGCGGCATTCTTCTTAAATAAGTGATGGTGTTATTTTATATTGGTGCAATTATATTTTTTAAATCATTTTTCTTAAATTTGTTAAAACTTCCAACAGAGTATAATGTATAAATGTGCATGGATCCTGCATTTATACAAAAGCCAATGAAGCATTAGGAAAAGAAACTTTTGGAAACCAGTACTTAAACTGATTAGAAAACGTCTAAGTGCCTCAATCTAAATCCCCCCCAATGGTCCTCCAAATCTCTTCTTACCAGAAAATATTCAGAGGAAAAACCTATAAAGACGATTGGTTTATTCACTCTAGTGTTGCGTTTTCTATAGGGACAAGGTGTTATCTCTGCTTCCTTTACACACTGGCCAACCAAAGCCCTCCCCGACACTCAGCTGTAGATGAGACAACAGTCATACCCACGCACGCCTTTTTTTTTTTTTTTTTGGCTTCTAGCATTCATTCATCAAAGGTATCCCACACAGAAGCTCCGGGTATAATGTCGAGTTATTTTCAAACTCCATACATTATTGATGACCATTATCACACGGATAGGAACCAGTTCTGCCAGGCTGAGCATGGAGACCAAGCTGCCGGGCTCCCCTGGGATTCAAACCACCGACGCCTCCCGGCCTCGCGGTGCACAGGTGTCCTTTGGGACCACGTAAAACGGCGGAAAGGCCACCTTTCCCCGAAAGAGCACCTACCTACGTAAGCTGACCTAGTTGATGCCAAGCAGCCTCCCCCCGGAGGCAGGAGCCGGACCTGCCTTTGGCTCCCCGCCGCCTCCCGCTTCCACCTCTGCCCCCCTCCCGCAGGAGCCAGGCAGACCGTTAGTGATGTCACTAACGCTCCTCACACCATCCCTGGAAGACGGCTCGGAGCCCTCTCGGTAGAAAAAGGGGCGCTTCGAAGGGAGGACAATAAGGAGTCTTCACAAGAGACAGCAACTCACTCTACCTTCGTCGTAGTTGTAGCCACGCACATTCCTATGCCGGGCCATGACGGGCGAGCTGAGGAAGATCTGAGGTAGAACGGCGAGGCGAGGCCTCTGAGCCCCCTCAAACTTGGGCACCGTAGTAGCCCCACGCCACCATATTGTTGATTTGGGCCTACTACCACCGCCCCGCCTTCCTCTCCGTCGGGCTTTCTGCGCGTGCGCCAACCCGCCTCCCTTCCCCGACTGCGCATGTGTGACCTCGGTGCTTCCTCCTCCCCCTCCCTCAACGATTGTCGGATCGCGGACTAGGCGAAACTGGGTGGTGTGGTGCCCCCGTTCGGCCGGGCGTCGTTCTGTAGATTGCGTCGGATCAGCGGCTTGGCGTTAGGGTGCCCTTGCGGGCTAGATTCTCCAGCACTGCCTCCAACGCAGCACCAAGCAATTGCTCTTGCTCGTCGGGCCGCCAGGCGCTCTTGCAGGTCGATGATGTGCATGTTTGATTCCGAAGAAAATCCTTTGGGTTTCAGAGGCATTAGGGGTTCAGAATCTCCACATCCCCTGGTAACTGCGTTTATATCCCTTAACCTATCCCCAGGACACTGCCTTTGTCTTCTCCAGTCTACAACAGGGGCATCTTAAAGCTGGCTCTAGCTGTTTTGGTTTTCGGCGTGCTGGCTGGGGAATTCTGGGAGTTGAAGCCCACGCATCTTAAAGGCTGTGAGACTGAGAAACCCTGGGTTAAAAGTAGTTTTTTTTCTCCCTACACTACACAGTTTTTGCAATGGACAACAGGGGTGAGGGAGGTAAATAAAAAAGTTAAGTTAGTGCGCTCAGCTGTATGATCCAATTGTCCCCGGGCCGGACCAGCACTTTGGAAAGGACTTGCAGGGTCTTAACACAGGCTTTTACGTACACAGGTTTAGTGGTCATTTGAAAGAGTAGTAATCCTGACTTAAGCAGAATGGTGATTTAAACCAGAAACAAAGGCCAGTAATAACAGCTACCTTTTACTCTTTCCAACATCACCCTACACCCTTCTCTTCTGTGACTTGTCAGCTGGGCTATTTGTAGGTACAGGTTTAATGCTCTTTCAGAAGAGGTTCCCTGTCTCTGGACTGTTACCTCAAAGGTGGCAAAACCAGTGATTCTATGCAACCCACCATGCTTTATTTTAAGGAGGGGGACTGGTGGTGGGTTTTTTTCACCACCTGGTGATGCTTGACAGGAGAGAAAATAGAGCCAAGGGAACCTACCAATCACCTATCAATTTAACGTGTCCCTCATTAAAACAATACTGACAGCTCCACTCACCAGCCTCATAACTGAAGTAAAGAAGTAAAGTGAAATTTATGCCAGTATTCCTTTTTATCAACTTATGAACTCTAATGCAACAATCATGCTGTGACCCTAAGCTGAGCTGACTTCAGGCTTGGTATCTTGGTAGAGATATTTTCAGTGTTTTTAATTAAAATCCTAAAATCCACAAATGCATACATGCAGTTATGAACAAGGTGATTCTCTTAGCACTTTCTGAGCCTAGGGATTTAGAACTGGCCTGCCACACTAAACTCTTTATCATCTCATTTAGCATTCTTCGTGGCAGTAGCAGAATGCAGTAAGAAAAGTTGTTAAAGAGCTAGAAGTAAATGCTAGTCAATTTATTGCAAACAAATTAAGAGGCCACCAATAAATCCTGATCTATCTTCTTCTCATTTCTATCTTAAACTGAACAGATTCTCACAGAAAAAAAATCCAAGATGGTTTTCTCTCAGAAATTTATTTTTTGTCCAGATTTTCCAATATAAGATGTATTACTCCTGAGTTTAAAAAATGGATCCCTGTAACCCTCATATTTAAGTAATAGGTTTAACTAGGGCTCAGTTAGTATTACTCAAGCATCTCAATAAGACTTCAAAATTTGTGAACCCTCTGAAAAACCTGAAGACAACGTAGCATGATTCCCTCCCCACCCCCACATTGACTGATGTGGGCTTAGGCTGAGCAAAGGATGACTAATTCTAAGTTACCAGTAAAATTAATAACTTAGACTTCAACCCTATAAGAAGATTTCCTGAGAATCTTGTTGAATGCAGTGTGCTTTATTATTGAGTTAAACCTGCAGATCATTGATCAGTGAGGATTTGAATCTGCATAGCACCAACTGCTATACTACAATGATTGTTTAATGCTGTGATTCAGAATAGGACTTTAAAACATAAAATGGCAAAATCATATGAGACAAATACAGTGCCAAAATGTATCTGAAGCCTATGCTCTATGTATCTCTCTCTATAGGAAGTTTTGGGGTTTTTTGTTTTGTTTTTGTTTTTTAGAGTTAAGCTCAACACCTGGCAGTTCCGTGGACAGGTCCATGTAGTTTTCTTGACCACAGTATGGAAGTGAGTTGCCACTGCCTTCATCCACGATATTTCCTCATGTTATCCCATTCAAATACTAACTAGTTTTTACCTAGAGAGGTTCAGTGTTTGGATCCAAAGCAAGGATCTGGCATGGATATCCGCATTATGTATCAGAGTCTCCTTAAGGAAGGTATATCTTCCCTTGGGTTTGCAAGGTAGCTGTGCAGACTTAGGAAAATACTTGTTTAAGGGACAGTATAATCAGATGCATATTTTCCTGGGCCTGGACTATTACCTTGCAATTCCAGGAAATTGTATGTTGTCTTTAATGAGCCACCAACAAGGACAATAATTATATCCATACTGAATCCAAAGTACCCTTTCCCTCTTAAAATCCAAATTCTATATATGAGATGTGTTCCACCTAGCTGAGCATATCTCTATATAAGACCAAAATAACAACTAATTGCACTGCTTAGAATATGGTGCAATAACCCCTACAAATTATTACAATATCAATCAGATTTTTTTTTTAAAAAGAGCAAACTATATACTATTTGTCTCAACTGTGAGCATATTTAGCAAGAGGCAGTGTGATATAGCAGTTACGGTGTTGGACTGGGAGTGGGGGTAGCCATGTTCTACTCTAATCTCAGTCACTGTCAGCCCCACCATGTAGACCAGACCAGGAAATCAACTCCACAGGAAGGTTAAAATAACTTTTATTGAGGTTGTCTATAATAAAAGGATCTTGCAAGTCTGGTTGTGCTTATACTTCCATGAATTAGGAAGTGTCTGAGCTATTTCCAAATGTAATCTGTTGTGGACTTTAAAAAATATTTTACCCCTCATCGCCCTAGTAACAGATCTTGCATATCTCCATCAAGGTTATCTTCCTTACTCTCTACGTTGATGAAGGTACTCAGCCCAAACAGAGAGTTATTATGGGGAAAAATAGGAAGAATGAGCAATATGTTTGCTGCCTTGAGTTCCTGATGTAAACTCACTGTAACATGTCTAAAATTAATAATAAAAAAATTAAAGTAGCAATTGCTTTTCGTCTAATTTTAGGCACAAAACTTTACTACCAGAGTTTTCCTTTCTAGGTAGCATCAGATACAAGGTAACACAAAATAAAAGGACATTTGAACAAGCCTCAGTAAAAGCCTTTCTCTGACTGGGCTTGTTAGGCTAGAAAGTCTGCTGTGATATGGCTTTGCTTCCTATTGTAATAAGTATGCATCTAACTATGCATTGGTGTCTGTAAACCAGTTACCTAATCATTCCATTAGTTTTATAGAATCCTGCTGCAGCCACAAAGAGGCATATGTAGAGTTTTCTCTCTACAGCCCTTTCAAGGTTGACTGAAAGCTGTCCTGTAGCATTAGACAAGGTTAGATGGGATGAACAAATGAACTAATAATCAAAGATAAACTGTTAAGCTTTCGTTGCCCTAAACAAATTTGAAAGGATGTCCTGGCAAGAACCAGCACAACTAGTAGTGTCGTCATAAGCTAAAAATCCAAACTTGCTTTGGCACTTGATGGCTTCTACCCAATCTCCAGGTCCCTTTCATTCCCTGGTCTTTTATTGGTAACAGTGTTAAAGGATCACCTTAGAGCTATATGCACCAAAAGATCTTCCTGAATTGGATCTAAAGTCTAACATTAAGTTGCTCTCAATTTGGGGCCCTATCACAAATTCTGAAATAATGGGCTTTGTCAAACAACTTAAGCCCAATAAAGCCCCAGGTGGTGATTTTATTACTGCTGAAATTCCACATTGTAATCTGAAAGGGTGAACCCCTGTATTAGCTTCTCTGTTCACTTATATCAATTGTTCTGCACAAATATCAAAGGATTGTGGGTAGCTATTATAGTGCTTATCTACAAAAAGGATGATTGAGATTTGCCCACTATTAGCCCATCAATTTCTTAAACATAATAAGCAAGCTTTAGGTCAAGCACTTATACATGGGGTGTTGCTAAGACAATTATTTTGAGAAACTGGAAAAGTAACACTATTCTTGAATTAAGGACTGGATTCACAAGATGTGTGATTTATCTGTTTATGAAAAGGCAATGTTATCTACAGTACTAATCAAAAAATGATACAGTATGTCTCCCTCTGGCACAGATTTCATGACATTTTACAACAATAAGTACGGAGTATCATCAGTTATTTAATTTAGATAGTTTTATATTTGTAAATGTTAACATTTGATGTGTATTTGAAATATACTGTATAGTTTCCAAACCCATTTTTGTTGTTCCTTTTTTTAGTTTGTTTACTGGTTTTCTTGTTTTGGTTTGTTTTTAAGCTTTTTGTATGAATTTTTAAAAAAATTTCTTTAAATAAATATTTGTTATATAACTGCTTTTTAAAAACGAAACCTGATTGGGTCAATTCAGAACACACGCTGGCAGATGAGCAGGCACGTTTCAGAGCTAGATGCTGAATTTTTTACCATGCCCTTATAATGCAACATCTGGCCAAAAAAATATTCATCCAAATCAGGTTCTGCATTATATTTTGTGCTTATTGATTTCAGATCTGCATTTGGTCTTATCGCCAGAATAAGCTGTGGAGCAAGATGTAAGAATATGACAGGTGGCTACTTTCTGCTAATGTACAAACTCTATGAGAACTCTAGAATAAAGGCTTACTGTTGTATACAAGGCTGCTGCACTTGTATACAACACAAGAAATTCCAGCTCAAAAAGGAGTAAGATAGGGATGCATCTTGGCTCCTTTGGTTCAATTTGCTTGACATGCTTGATCACCAATTTTATGTTTGTATAAAAACAACTACTTATACCAGTCTCTTATACCAGTCTCTCCAATTTTTC